GTGTGTGTGTGTGTGTGTGTGTGTGTGTGTGTGTGTGTCATACAGTTTATAAACCATCTGTTTATTTTCCGTCTTTCGACATGGATGATAATCAAAGATGTCATTAAAATGTACAGCACTAAGTCACAAAGCCAAACTTAATTGATGTCAAAAGGCTAAATCCAAAGTCTAATCGCTGAACCATAAGTAACCATGGTAACACTAGCTGGACAGAAAAACACTGGTCTGATTCAAAACCTTGTGGGTCGACCCACAAATCTAGACAACTGCCACTGAGCCTTCCAGTAGCAGGACAGGGCTACACAGAGAGTTTATGTACTGCGGAAGTAGACATAACAGCATTTTCATGTACTTGGGAGTTCACTAAATGAAGGAAGAGTTGCTCTGATGTAACCCTTGGGTTTTATGCCTTGCTAATAGTCATAATGGTGACAGATTAAGCATGTAACCTCTAAATTCTTATCAATGATTGTACAGCAAAACATTTTAGTGTATGAAAGTGAATTAAGAGGCCAAGAACAACCACTAAAACTAAAACAATCCAGCATCACTTTAAAGCAATAGTTAAGTTAATCGTAAAAAACTGAATATTTTGTCATAGTTTACTCATCCTCATGCCATTCCAAACCTGTATGACTTCTACTGTGGAACACAAGCAAAGATTTCCTGAAGAATCCAGCCTGCTCTCTTCTACACAGAGAAACTCAGTTGGGACTGGGCTGTCAAGGTCTAAAATTGACAAAAACTACCATAAAAGCACAAAAAGTAAAAGTATTATAAAAGTAGTAGATACAATGCATGAGCTGTATGTGACCCTGGACCACAAAACCAGTCATAAGGGTCAATTTTGACCATGTGATATTTCAGTTTTTCTTTTTTAATAAATCTGCAAAAATGTCAACGATTCTGTGTTTTTCTGTCAGTATGGGGTGCTGTGTGTACATTAATGAGGAAAAAAAATTAACTTAAATGATTTTAGCAAATGGCTGCAATATAACAAAGAGTGAAAAATTTAAGGGGGTCTGAATACTTTCCGTACCCACTGTATATGAGCTTGTGAGAACTCATCAGTCTCTGAAGCTTTGAATTAATCTGTATAGTTTAAGCATGTGTTTGCAAGACGGTCAGTGTCATATAAGTGTCTACGATAAAGATAAGGAAAAATCATATTTAGGGATAAAAGTTTTTTAATATTAATAAACAGTAAAGCAGTTTTATATTTTTTCCCCTGAGAAATAACAATAAATGATTAAGCCAAACTACATTAGGCCTATAGCATTCAAAAGTTTGGGCTCAGTATGATTTTTAAAAAGAAATTGATACTTTTATTCAGCAGGGATGCAATAAATTGATCAAGACTGACAGTGAATAAATTTACATAATTACAAAAAAATGTCAATTTCATATAAATTATGTTCCTTTAAACTTTCTTATAAATCAAAGAATCCTGAAAAAAATGTGTATCACTGTTTTCACAAAAAACATTAAGCAGTACAACTGTTTTCAACACTGATAATAAAAAAATGTTTCTTGAGCAGCAAATCAGAATGATTTCAAACATACTTTTATTTAGCATGGATAAATTAAATTGAACAAAAAAAAATATTTAAAAATAAATTTGTGTAAAATAAAATTGTGAAAAAAATGTATCACAGTTCCCTAACATGTTTTCAACATTAATAATAATAAACAAATGTTTTTGAGCAGCAAATCAGCATATTAGAATGATTTCTGAAGGATCATGTGACCATGAAGACTGGAGTAATGATGCTGAAAATTCAGCTTTGCTATCAAAGGAATGCATTACATTTTAAAATATGTCAAAAAGACAACAGTTATTTAAAATTGTAATAATATTTTACAATATTACTGTTTGTACTGTATTTTTTATCAATTAATTGCAGCCCTGTTGAGCATAAGAGACTTCTTTAAAAAAAAAAAAAAAACTTACAGACCCCAAACTTTTGAATGTTTTTTTTTTTTTCAATAATTTAATTCTTTAATGAGGCTTTTTCTTCATTATTATATAAGGAGGGTTGTATCGCCCTGACATTTTTTACTTCACACCCTCCCAAAAATGAATTTGAATACAGAAATAAAAAACATAGAAGAGGTGAATTAGGCTAGCTGTTGCAACAAATGTATTTTTGAATAACTTAGATTAAGACAAACAAAATGAGCATCATGCCATTGATCCATGAAAATTGTTATTATAGCTAAGCATTTGTGCCTGTATAAAAATGTGCTCTTTGGGGGTTCAAATTAAGACCCTTCCAGGTCCCTTCTGTGCAGATCTGTTTGATCAAGTGACCTGTGAACATCAGAGGAGACAAATCCTTTTGGATTTAATTTTACGGCCTGATTTCCAAACTTGAAATCGCATCATATGACCCCTTTAAGACTGGTTTTGTGGTCCAGGGTCACATATTCCAATTCTTCTGAAGTCATACAACAACTTTTACCTTGGGGTGTTTTTTACGGATTTGAACACATGCAACCGCAAATGAGATTTACATCACAGGTAAAAATTTTCAGTGACTAACTAATTCAGTCATAGTTTGCTCATAAAATTTCAATGAGCTGAACAGCAAAGTACCAAACATCAGGATCTGCACACAAAAATATAAGCAAACGCTCATGTAGATTTAATCCATTAAGGCCTCAATATAGTTCTATGAAGTACTTTAATGGCAGTTTTGTGGTGTTTAGTCATACCATTCAAAAGTTTTTGGGTTGGTAAGATTTTGTAAATTTGTAATATTTATTTGAAAGCCGTCTCTTATGTTCACTAAAGCTGCATTAATTTGAACTCCAATAAAACATTAATATTGTGCATTATTATTACAATTATAAAAAAAATATTCTATGTTAATACACTTATTGGAATATAGCTCATGAATAAATTAAAGCATAATTTCTTTCTGTAATAGCAAAACTGAATTTGCAGCAGTCATTTCTCCAGTCTTCAGCATCATATGATCCTTCAGAAATAATTCTAATAAGCTGATTTGTTGCTTCAGACACATTTCTTATTATTATCACAGTTGAAAACAGTTGTGCTGCTCAATATTTGTGGAAGCCATGATAAATATTTCTCAGGATTCTTTGATGAATATAAAGTCCAAAAGAATAGTATATACTTGAAATAGAAATTTTTGTAATAAAAAAATTAATATATGTAAGTCTTTATATAGTCAAAAATTACTTTTGGTTATTATTTGATGCATCCTTGCTGAATTAAAAAAAATAATACTAACCTCCAAATTTTGAACAGTAGTGAATATGTCTATATTTATACTTTTTAAAGCTTTTCCATTCAGCTTTAATTGTATGGAAGAAGAGCACTGACATTGTGCTCCACAGAGAAAAGAAAGCGAAATGGGTTTGGAACGATATGTGGGTAAGTAAATTAAACAACTTTCAGAATTTTTGGGTGAACTATTCCTTTAAGAGAATGAAATTCCTTGTTCTTTAAATGGTGTTCCTGGCACAAAAGACTGTTTTGCACAAAATGAGGATGGCAAACTTCAGTTTGGTGCTTTCATGTGTATTCAAGCGTTACTTTAGTAAGGCAACATCTGAATTATGGTGGAATCAGCTCCTGTAGGCTATTAGTTCCAGATGGAACTTTCCTTTTTTGCATAACAGGTAACGGCTAAAGAGACAGCACTCCCGAGACTCCTTCTCCTGTTCTGAGAGATGAAGTAATGCAGGTGACATGTCAACTGTTAAGTAAGGCTGCTATAATCATTTCAGCTTAAAGCACAGCAGAATCCTTCCAAAAGGATTTTTTTTCCTTTTATCCATTTTCCCCAGTCCAATACAATGCAATCCCAATTAAATGACAAGACACTGATGCAAAACTAAGAGGTATGGCTGAAAAGATGATGGTGGCAATGATGGAGATTTGACAGGTGGCAGGTGCTCAATTTATGAGCTTTAAAACACGTTTGAGCCCTCACTGACATTTATCTGAAGCCCCGTTTTTACCTTTTAGTTACTCCCATCTGAGCACGTTAATGGCCCTGTCCTATATTTCATATTTAGGTCATTACGTGAATAAATTACAGAGGTTGTTAATACAAAGGAACTAATACAATAAAAGTGTGATTTGAATCAAACGCAGACGTTAAGGTTGAACTTCACTCACCACCAGTACAGAAGTGCGCACCACCTCGGAGACGCTCTGGCGTAACTCGGCGGCGGTGCCCGGCTTACTCAGACCGCGTGTGAACTTCCGTGTCTCGGGCTGAGCCGAAGAGGCCATCGCACCTTGCTTGTGTTTAAAAGATGAATTCTATGATTACATGTCTATAGACAAAAATGTACGCAGTCCTGCGAGGAAGTCCCCAGTTGGGACCTGTCCTTCATAACAAGACGCAGCGACGCATTCCCTGTCCCTACAGTAAACAACACCATGGAGTGGGTCATCTGTCCTCTTCCAAACTACATACTTCTGTTTGTTTTCGCAGCGTCGGATGGAAGCTGAGAGGTAACGCGTTCCCTGTTACACTAGTGAGCGACGGTTCCCCGGAGTCCCGCGTCGCTCCGCGGCAGTGTCGCACCGCTGTGTGTGTCAGTGCGTGCTGAAGCTCCCGCGCGAGCAGCAACGCCTCCCCTCAGAAACTCAGCGGAGCCAAGGAGCTAAATTGCTTCCATGTAAAAGCTTATGTCATATTGAACTGATGTGTGTGTTATTATTTATTCCGTTGAAACGCTATAAAACTTATTACGCAATTTAAGACATCACGAAATGGCAAGTTTTAAACAGCAGAACAACAGGGAAATACTGGGCAACACGTTCTATAAAGCCATGTAGGCTACTATAAAATACAAAGTAGCCTATTTTTAATGAACCATATGATAGGCTAACTGTTTATAATACGTTACCTGTTATTAACCTTTAAGGAATACATTAAAAACACTATATTTAAATATGAACTTACATTATAGTCTTAACTGTACAGTCATTATAGTAAAGATGTATCCATAATCTCTGGATTCAATTATTTATGAAAGCGTGTTATGAGAGATTATGAATACCTTTATACAGGCTTCATAAAAGGTGCACCAATTATTCCACATATAAATCCTTAGAATATATTATATTTCAATTTCAATTTTACCTAAGAGTGGTGTTAAAAAAGGTTTAAATTAGTGCTGTCAAACGATTAATCGCATCCAAAATAAAAGTTTGTTTACATGTGTGTGTACTGTGTATATTTATTATGTGCATACAGTATATATTTAGAAAATATTTGCATGTATGTATTTATATTCATATAATTTAATTTATATATAAATATATTTAATATACAAACATGACATATTTTTCTTAAATATATACATGCATGTGTGTCTA